TTGAGTGTTGCTGCTGTGACCGGGGTCACAGCAGCAGAAACGGTCAGTCCGGCCCAGGAGGGGCCCTCCACAGTCTCGGTGCCTCCGGTTGCTGAGGGCTGCTCGGAGCGAGAAGAGTTCATGTACTCAGACTCAGCAGACGAGAGCATGAGCAAAGTGCTTAACGATGATTTTATGGAGGAGGACATGTCTGATGATGAACATCTCAAAGTGTCTCAAAAAAGGAAAAATATTGTGACTGTTAAAAAGAACAAAAAAACGAGAAAACCGATCATGAGGAAGACCCCAGAGTCACAAGACTCTTTTACACAAGACTCTCAGTCGCCGTACTCCCCGGCTCAGATAAAAACCTTCCTGGCACAGATTAAAGGCTCCAGGCAGCCCAATATAAAAGAGTATTACCCAGACCTGCGCTCTTTTATGAAGTCTGCCAGACCCCTCACCAGGAAGAGCCATGGGGAGGAGGTTTTAACAGAACAAGAGGTCTTCAGACTCAAAAAGGTTTTAGGGAGGGTAAAAGAGCAATTCATCAGCGATGAAGATGAGTTTTAGATGCTTTTACCCTTTACTGACTGTTCTCCTGAGTGTTTTTTATTTTTTATCCATGTGTGATTTTAATATCAGCACCTTAAACCTGAACGGGGCCAGGGCTGATTTTAAACGCGCCGCTCTTTTTAAATTAATGGAGACTAAAAAAATAGATATCATTTTTGTCCAAGAAACCCACAGCAGCTTAGATAATGAGAGTGACTGGAAGAGGGCTTTTAACGGGGAGGTAGTTTTAAGCCATAAGTCCAGTCTGAGCGGAGGGGTGGGGATTTTATTTGCACAGAGTTTTTTACCCTTTTCTTTTACCGTCCATGAGATCATCCCAGGTGTTTTATTGAAGGTAAAAGCTGTCTTTGAGAATGTAAAATGTGTGTTTTTAAATGTCTACGCTCCTACCAATGCTGTGGAGCGAATAGCATTTTTAAACATTTTAAAGGACTGTGTTAGGGACTGTGAGAACGATGGTTTTATGTTTTTAGGGGGAGATTTTAACTGCACAGTTGATCCATCCCTGGACAGGAACCATCCTGAACCACACCCACCCTCATCACACACACTTCGGCGGCTGACAGAGAGTCAGGAGCTGAGTGATGTGTGGAGGGTTTTTAACAGTCAGCAAAGACAGTTCACCTGGAGTCACAGTAGGGAGGGGGTTTTAACTCTAGCCAGACTGGACCGTTTTTACTCTTTTAAACACCATTTAAACATTTTTAAAAGGTGTTTAATGCTGCCAGTTGGTTTTACGGATCATTTTTTAGTCTCCTGTCGTGTTTTTATTAAAAACATTCGTTTAAAGAGCGCCTATTGGCATTTTAACACAGCCCTTTTATCTGACCAGGCTTTTAGAACTGCTTTTAGGTTTTTTTGGGAATCCCACAGAGAGAGCAGGCCTGCCTTCACTAACATACAACAGTGGTGGGATTTTGGGAAAGCCCAGATAAAACAGCTCAGCCAGCAGTTCACTCGCGGTGTCACTACAGACTTAGCTCGGTCCATTAAAGACCTGGAGTCACAGGTGGTAGAGCTGCAGACTACTGCAGACTCTACAGCAAATCGAGGGCTTTTAGACTCCCTCAAGTCCAAAAAGTCGGCATTAGCCAACCTGCTAGGCGTCTCAGCACAGGGGGCTCTGGTCAGGTCTCGTTTCATGAACATCACACAGATGGACGCCCCATCTCGCTTCTTCTTTGGGTTGGAGCGGAAAAATGGACAAAGGAAGACCATTCACTGTTTACGGACGGGTAGCGGCTCCGAAGTCTCAGACTCGTCTGAGATCAGGAAGTTTGCTGCCGGTTTCTACAGAAACCTTTTTAAGAGTGAGTGGTCGAATAATCCAGAAGTGCACAGCAACTTCCTGGCGGGTCTCCCTCAGGTCAGCAAGGCTGACAACAGCAGACTGGCAGCAGAGGTGACGCTGCAGGAGCTCCACGCAGCCACCATGAGCCTGCAGAGCGGCAGAGCTCCAGGCATAGACGGCCTTCCTGCTGACTTTTACAAGTCTTTCTGGTCCATCATAGGACCAGACCTGCTAGAGGTCGTGACAGACAGTCTGAGGACCGGCAGGCTGCCTCTGAGCTGCAGGAGGGCCGTCATCACCCTGCTGCCCAAGAAGGGAGACCTGCAGGAGCTGAAAAACTGGAGACCAGTCTCCCTGCTGTGCACGGATTATAAAATCCTGTCCAAGGCTCTGACCCTCAGACTGAGGGAGGTGATGGCGTCCATCATCCACCCTGACCAGACCTACTGTGTGCCTGGCAGGCTCATCAGTGACAACGTCACTTTAATTCGAGACATTTTGGAGCTCTCCAGGTCATTGGGTATAGAGACTGGTCTTATTTCCATAGATCAGGAAAAGGCTTTTGACCGGGTTGAACACCAGTACCTGTGGCAGACTCTGGCTGCCTTTGGGTTCAACCCTGGGTTCATAGCCATGGTCCGGGTTCTCTACAGT